TTCAAAATCATGGAGCCTTTTGGTGAGCACAAAGTGAACTATTCGTTCGCTTCAATTGAGCTCAAATTTTAGGCTTCAATCAAACTTTTAATTTTTTTTTGAGTTCGAGCCTTTTCGATTTCAAGATATAATATTATATTTCGAGTTAATAATTTTTAACTCGTGAGTTTTTGAGTCGAGTTGAGCTTACTTTTAAAGTTTTCGAGTTCGAGTCGAGCTCAACAATACTCGAATTTGACTCGGCTCGTTGAACAAACGACGTTGTTTGGTTTAATTTTTTTTTTAAAGAAAAAAAGTGAACCGGTAGTTCAAACTGGCTTTATCGGTTTTTAGCCGGTTCACCCCGATTTTCAGCCGATTCTTCCGATTCTGTGCTAATCCGATTTTGGGAGTTAACCGGACCGGACAGGCCACCGATTCACGGTTCAATCGGTCGAACCGACCGATCCGATCCGATTTTAATAACATTGCGTTTCCCCTAATTATGTGCGTAGTGAATATAAAATGAGTTGCGATGTTTATATAATAAAGGAGTTTTTATTTGTCTAAGTTGGCGAAGATATTTTCTTCTCTCTCTACACTACGACGAATTTGATAATCCAGGCTTACCGTACCTTTCGATTTTGGTTCCAAAACTTGATCTGTATAGTTATACGTTACTTTTTTTTCCACTGTTTTCCTCGTTGTTTTCTTCTTCGCTTTGATGATGATTTTGCAGATGCTTTTCTTTGAGAACTTTCATGGCGGTATCGCTGCATGTTAATGGCTGTAGGCTTTAATCTTTCTTTTGATTCTCTACCTTTCGTTTTTCCCTCTTTTTTCTCATTATTTTCATTTGATTATTCCGTTTCTTGACATACTGTTCTCTAATGTTTTCAAGAATCGAATTAGGTAAATTCTTTAAAAGCTTTTTACTTGAGAAAGTGCTTAATTCCTTTGCTTTTGCGTTTCGTCGCACTTCTTTCTATGTAAGTTTTAGTTCCACTTCCATGTCATAATTTGGTTTGCCGCTTTTTTTTATTTTAAAGGTGTAAGTTAACGTATAATTTGATCGTCTATGTTGTTTGATTTTCTTCGTTTATAGCTGTTGTGAGTTTAACATGTTTTCATCACTTAATCGTGACGAATTAATGAAATTACATGTTATTGTAATCTCATGGCTTTATGTTTGCTATTGCTTTGCTGTATTTTCGCCTATTTAATCCTTTTGGGAAGAGTACTAATCTCCATAACTCTCTATACTCTACTATGTCTTCCACCCCTCCGCTCTAATCCTAAAATTGCACCTGGGAAACTAAAATCGTCAATACGGACCTATCTTTTCTTGGTTTTGATAGATGCTGGTACTTTTTAATTAGAGGAAGGGAAAATGTAGTGAATTTTGTGGATTTTGGCCATTTTCCTTAGCTGTTAGAATCTTGCAGTGAATTAGGGCTTTTCTCTATTAAAAATACATGGTTTTGTATGGTTAAATTGTCAAGTGATTGTATGATATGATGAAATGAGTTGGAATTAACAAGAGTATTCTTGGATTAATGAAAGGAAGAGAGTGCAATGGTATTGATTATGTTTTCAAATGAGAAACACACATTTATCTAAGGGAATTGCTGTCTAAAGACCTGCTGTCTAGGATCATCTTGTTAGACCATAATGTCTTCATTTTTCAGTGCTTTATTTAAATCGAGGAAAATCATAATTTCTAGTCTATGATTCTTCTCTTTGTATACAAGTAGCCGAATTGATTTAAGTTGTTGTTTGTTAGCCTTATTGTATTAGAAACTATTATAGTCAGGTTTCTAAAATGCTACTATCATCTTTGTAATTGTTTATTGAATTTTTAACCTATATTGTTGCGCTATAACCTATTTTAATGTGTTAAATATTGCTTTCTAGAGTTTTTTCTTTGAAATATTTTGAATTGGAGTACCATCTTTAAAGTTACAAAAAGATTGCTTTATCATTGTAATTGTTTTCTCATTAGATTTCAATTCAAGGAAATTGGAGCTATTTGTGGTTTTTTTTATAAGTAGTCATTTTTAGCGAACCATGTTATTAGTATTTGTGTTGATAGATTCTTTTTTTTTCTGGTTTGTTAACATTTGTTGAACATTACCGTAGTTTGATCTTTTAACACTATGTTATGCCATCAGTAGCTATTTGCTAGTTTTTTTTTTCATATTCAAGTTCAGCAATTGGTAATTAGTATTTTTTCCTTGACAAGTTTTTGGGTTTCTTATTTGAAGTATCACTAGCAGTAAGAGTAGCACTGAAGTAAATTCCTAAGCCTTAATGGGTATGTCTGTCAATAAACTTTTCCTGTTCTCCATTGGTATGTGTTGGCAATTATACAGGTCTGCATTCTTTATACTTGGGGTTCTGGTGGTGTCAAAAAAAGGTGTGTTTCTGTGACAAATACATTCAATCTTCTTAAATTTTTACTTGGACAGCCCTTGGTATTTATGAAAACTTTGATTTGTCCAACACAGGTCTGCTAGGAAATAGAGAGTTACAACATTACCAAGATTATTAAGAGTGAATATTTCATATATTTTAATGTTTTTATACATATATATATATATATGCATATTTTTCTTAATTTGAATGATGTTTTCAGATAGCTTTGGCTTCAATACTTCTCATCCTGTATACCTTCTTTTCACTCATGTTGCACTTTTGTGTTTCAGAATTAGCTTCATGGTTAGCTAAAATAGAAACCCAACAATTCTCATTCCAGCGGGTACCCTTTTCGTCTAATCCTTAGCTTAGAGGTATAGTCATTATAAAGGGAAAATGTGTTGTCAATGTCCAAAGCTAAACCTTCTAAAAACCTAGTGAATTAAGTAGATTACATCCTCTGGAAATTTTGGTGTATGCAGTTTTTTGGTTTTTCTGATTAGATTTATTCATTAAATTAAGTTGAATTTCTTATGACTCTTAATGATTGAAAACTAAGTTTGTAAGGTCATTTATGATCTACCGATATTCTAATTGAAAGTAAGTACATGCTAAGGCCATTCTGCTTGCTGCCGAAGGTGTCTTGTTGAATGGATGAGTATCTTTAGATAGAAATAATTTCCTCTGTATAATATAAGGAAAATTATGGTTTGTTTATTTGAACTGTCTACCTTACCATGGGGAAGAGATTTTCTTCTCCTGTGACTGATAACTATACTGGAGGATCATATTCTTGTGCATTTAATGCAGCAGCCAGTAATGGTCATGCATATTGTATAAGTTTACTCCTCACTATATGAGCTGAAATGTCATGTTTATACTGCAATAAATCCATACAATTTATTAGTAAGATTCAAGTTGCATTTCAAGATTATGAAAAAACATTGCTTAGCTTGATTCCAACATGCCAATTCTGGCTCTTACAACTACTGCTTACCTGTTTCCCTAACATGAATTGTGTTCAGTAGATAGATGCTGATATTTCAAATTATTGAAAGTTTCAGAGGTAATAGGGTTTATGTCTTTTTTCTGTGCTATTAGTAAAGGCATTCTATGTGCTGAGCATGAGAACTGTTCTTTTCCCTGCTGCTGGGAATTAATTAGGACTACTATGAAATGAGTCCCGCAATTTCTTGAATATCCACTTTCTTGTGGATCATATTCCATTGAGGATATTATGGTGTGGTAATATTTCTAATTTTATGGTTACAACTTTCTTCCCAAACTTCCTGGTTCCTCCCTGCTACTGAATTTTAAGAAGTGGTTTGATTATTCTTTTATCGTAAATGTATGCATGATCTGTAATTGACTGCTCTATTTTTCTCCATTGTAGTTTATGCAACTACTTTTGAAGAGGTAATGAGTGGAATGGAGTAATCTGATTAAATGGTGACTATCCGTTCAAGATAGTGTGCTTAGAAAACTTGTGGCCTGTCTAAAGCAGTTACTAATTATCAAAGCATGCTTTTAGTGGTGCAATGGATTGCCCAATTTATTTCTCATTATGATGTTGCATTTCTTGTTGCATTGTTAGTTCCCGATAATATTGATATGAATAAATCCATAATTCTTTTGACCCTCACTATCTCTCCTCTTTGTTCAGCTTTAAGTTCCTTTATATATAATGTGGAGCTATTAGAAGAACCAAAAACCAATGTGAGAAATTATTTTTATTGGATAACACTAGTACGGTTGCAATTTGCAGTCAGTAAATCAATACTGTCAAACACAATAAGTTCACGAGGCAGCTGACTGCAGGGTAACATCAGACACAAACAGTGCATTCTAATTATTTCGTAAATTTACACCAGATAATGTGCTTTTCTGTTCATTACAGAACCCTACAGTTTCTTTCATTAAATATTTAATATAATTATCTTTTTATGTGCTGAACATACTTTATCTAATTGCTGGAACACGAATACCACTGGTAAAACTTTGGTTTTTAACCACGGGATAGATGTTGAGATGGTACTGATGATGTCCATCCATAGTTGTCCGACCAGTTTGTTATTGCAGCTGTAATCTGATGGAAATATGAGAAGTTACTGTTACGATTGATATTTAAATAACACGTTTTCTTACTTGGCTTCTGTTTGCTGTAGCTTTTAAAAATGTGTTAAGCAGAAGAATTACACTAAGTTCATTGATTTTTCTGGTGCATCATTCTTAGGAGTTAGGGGTTGGCTTAATTGGAGATTAACAGGTGCATGCAGATCATATCCATTGTTGAAAGTGTAAGTTGTGTGGGGGATTCTGCTAGCTTCATTTGCTTGCGCAGTTCCATAAACCTAAGACCCAAAAATTATCAGTTATAACTCATATTTCATGGGACTTATGGCATACTGGTAATTTTATCAGTTATAAATTATCTAATCTAGTACCTTTTTAAGTTCGGTATTTTCCTGGCGCATGAGGTCTAACTTCTTATGCAGCTGTAGACTCTCCTGATGAATGAGGTGTCCCTGCAATTCAATAAATGAATGTTACCCAACCAGAAAACATAAAAAATGTAAACCTGAATAAAATTGCAGCAAAAGTTTCTATTAAACCTTGTGGTTTAGCTCTTTGATTTCGCCGGATAAAATTTGATCCTACAAGCAAAAATTATAATAGGAGTAATTGCATAAATGTAATCATTTGATCTTGAATATTATTGGTAAAAATTTCATCCAATTCTAGTTGTCATACCTTTTTCATGCGGACACCTTTCAAACTTGTTTCAAGTTGGTTTTCCAGGTTTTGTAGTTCGTTCAAGCTTAAGCCAGATAGTTCTTCTCCCATCAATTGCCTGCAACCCATCAGAGTGGAATGTTATGTATGCTATTCCTTGTCACATGGTATGGAAAATCTCATTATGTCATGTTTTAAAAAGTTCCTATTAACCATCAAGACTTTCTTGTTAGGAACATAACTATGAAGAGTTTTTTAAGTGATCTTTAGCATTTCTAATATCATGTTATACATGCAATGCATATATATACTAACATTTCTTGAAACCCCATGGCAAGAGTAGATTTGCTTTTTTATTTTATGCTATCTAGTTGATGAAATTTCCTTGTTTCAATGGTTTGTTTGTTTTCAAATCATATGTGAGATTTGTATTATAGGGTCCGAAATCGTTCAGGCTTTTTAATTATCTGATGGAAGAATAGGGTTTTCAGGAAATAATGGAATCAACACTGGAAGAGATGAAAAAATATAAGAGGAGAAGGAGAATTGTAAACATGCTAAATGAATCGAAGAGAGTATTAAAAGTTGGACGAATAATAGAAATTTCTTGTTGTCGGGAATGATTTTAGAGCTAGAGAAGTTTATTTTTTATATGGAGGCAACTATCCAACAGGGGTTAAATTCAATATCGTGGGATGCTATTGTGAAGGCAAAGAAGGAATTGTGGGATTTGTAAAAAAAGAGGAATTAATTTAGTTCCAAAAGTCACATGCGAAGTGGATTTCAGATGGGGATCGAAATTTCAGATATTTTCATCAGTGTGCTAGGGTGAAGGTAAACGCCCTGAAGGTTCTTAAAGTAAATGGCGAATGGGTTTCAGACCCAGATCAGATTAAGTTTAGTGTTTTCGATTTTTTCAAGGAGGCCTATAATAAGAAGCCAACAGTGGGAGTGAAAAAATGGACCTAGAGTTTTGCCAGATTATCGGAAACGTAAAGTTATCTGTTTGAGAGGAATTTTTCCGAGGAAGAAATTTGGGAGGCAAATGCATCTTCGGATAGCATTAAAGCACCTGGACCAGATGGACTAAATATGGGTTTTTTAAGAGATTTTGGCTAGTTTTGAAGGATGAAATCTTAATGTTTTTCTCGATTTTTTATTCAGGTAAGAGGTGAGAGAAAGGAGTGAATCATTCATTTATATCATTGATCCCTAAGAAATTGAATCTGGAGAGTTTAGAAGATTATCGGCCTATTAGTTTGGTTGGTGGTCTTTACAAAATTTGGTCGAAAGTTTTTTCAAGAAGATTGATGACTTGTATTGATTCTCTTATAGGTCTTGTTCAATTTGCATTTGTACCAGGGAGCCAGTTTCTTGACTGCTCCTTTATAGCAAATGAGGTGATTGATTTCTGGAGAAAAAAAGGGCTAAAAGGTGTTGATTTTAAAGTGGATTTTAAAAGAGCTTACGATTCAATAGACTAGTCAATCTTGTTGAAGGTTATGGAGTATATGGTGTTTGGGCAGCGGTGGCATTCTTGGATTTTAAAATATTTATCTTTAGCTTCCATTTCCATTTTGGTTAGCGGCTCTTCGACTGAAAAAATTTAAAATTTCTAGGGGTTACGCCAAGGTTGTTTGTTATCACCATTGTTGTTTAATTTAGTGGGTGAGATGTTAAGCTTGTTGTTGTCTAAGGCGGTTAAGATGGGCCTTTGCAGTGGGTTTCAGATCAGCAGCCCTAATAAGTCGTTCTCGCCATCTCATTCGCAGTTTTTGGATGACCTATTAATTTTTAGTGGTGTTTCAGAAGGGCAGCTGAAGAATGTGATGAGGGGATTGATTATTTTTTATTTGCGTTCGGGACTTCAATTAAATTTGTCTAAGATAAGAATTTTCGGTATAATGTTGATGAAACCTACATCAAATAGTGGGTGATTTTGATTGGATGTTCGGTTGGAGTATTTCCAACATAGTATCTTGGACATTCCCTTAGTTCAACGAAAAATTTGGTTACTTTGTGGGAATTAATAATCCAAAGATGTTACCAGAAATTGGCGGGTTGGAAAGCAAATACTCTTTCTCTTGCAGGGAGGGTTGTGTTGGTGAAGTCGGTTTAAGCGCTTTTCTAATTTATTTTATGTCGATGTTTAGAATGTTGAATAAGGTTATGAGGAAACTGAATTATATTCTGGCAAACTTCTTATGAGGGATTATCTAAGAAAAATCGTATCCATTAGGTTAAATGGCTGACTGTGTGTAGACCTAGAGTTCAAAGGGGTTGGGTCTCATTAATTTAAACCTTATGAATAGGGCTCTCATGAGGAAGTGGGCATGGAAGTTTGCTACGGAAAAAGAGTATTGGTAGAAGAATTTTGGTGTGTTGCAAGTATAAATTGGATAATGAAACCATTTTTATGGATAATGTGATATCCTATAAGTCATCTTGGATTTGGAGGAGAGTTGGTAGTAACTGTTGGGCGAATGATGCTTTTTATCACTGTTTTTGGAATCATTTTCAAATATTAGTCGAAAATGGGAATGATATTTTGTTTTGATATGAAAGTTAGATTTTCAATGTCCCTCTTAGGTTGAAGTTTCCTTGGTTGTTTTCTCTTTCCGTTAATAAAGAAGGAAAAATCTTTGAGTTTGGATTTTTTAATGCAGGGGGCTGGTGCTGGTATATTCAACTGAGAAGGAATTTATTGGACTGGGAAATCGAGCAGTGGGTTGAGCTTTTGTCGTTATTAAGTAATGCTAGTATTCAAAATAATGTGAATGATCAATGTGTGTGGACGAGGAATGAGGAGGGTGTTTATTCGGTCAAATCATGCGTCAAATTACTATCATGAGGTCTGTTGTGGATTCAATTTGGTCGAGGTTGGTTTGGATCAGTTATTCTCCCCTAAGAGTGGAGGCGTTTATGTGGCAGGTTTTGCATCAAAAATTGGCTATTTGAACTTATCAAGTTTGGTTTAAGTGGGATAGATAACATTTTATGTCCTCTTTGTGGTTTGCATCAAGGGACAGTTTTTCATCTGTTTTTTCTTGTTCTATTGCGTGGGGCTTATAGGCGAGTTTCTTAAGGTTGTGGAATCTAACCTCGGTCCTTCCAGATAATCCTAATACCTTCTTATCGGGAAGCTTAGTTCCTGAGTTTATAATTTGGAATTTTATTCCGGGAGCTGTCTTGTGGTTAGTATAGAAGTGTTGAGACCAATTGGTTTTCAAGAAAGGAAGTCTTAATCTTACACATTTATTCTTTATTTCTAGATATAAAGTGGTTGTGTGGTTTTTAACAAAATTTCCTAATTTTTCAGTTCTCTTAGATTGCCTTGCTGGTGACCCAAAGTTGGTTGATTGAAGTAATTCATCCATGAAGGTAAGCTCCTCATCAGCCTCGTGGAGTCCCCTACCCCCAGGTTTCTTCAAAATTAATGTGGATGGGGCAGTGAAAAGTGATTGGAAAAGTAGTGGAATTAGTGGAATCCTTAAAGATGACGAAAACAAGCTGTTGGATTCCTTCTCGGCATCTACTGGTCCAAGTTCGTCTATTTTAGCCGAGTTGAAGGCCATTCAAGTTGGTTTATCTATGTTTGTGGAGTCAGAGTGGTGTGGAAAGGGTCGATTAATTATATAGACTTATTCTGCAATTGCAGTGAAGTGGATTAAGACACCAGGAATGTGCCCTGTCATGTTTTCCCAACTAGTTAAGGAAATTGTCAGTGTTGTATTGGAGCATAATGTTATTATTAAGTTTGTAAAAATGGTTGTGAATTGAGAGGCTGATAGCTTGACCAAGTCGGGTATAGGGTAATTTTTTTGTAACTTTTTGTTTGGATGATGTGTTTATATAGAGGATTGAGGCTAAGTTGGTGGGTGATATATGTAATATCCTGCTATTGTATGAGGTGTATTTTTTTTGGCAATAAAAATTTGAGGCACATTTTCCTCCTAATGTTCGTTGTGGTACTTATGTAGCGTGACAGTTATGAAGGGGGTATTTAACGAGGCTCGTTTCTATTAAAAAAGGCTTTTCCCTTATTTCATGTTCTCAATCTTACAACCAAAATCTTCGGTTGCAAAGTTTTTGTCCATAATCACCAACCAAATCAGTTCAAACTTGATCCTCGAGCTCACATTTGTTCTTTCATTGTATATTCTCCAACACAAGGAGGCTATAAGTGTTATTCACCTACCTTACGCCGAATGTTTATCTCTCAGGATGTCACCTTTTTTTAAGAATGAACCATATTTTGCAGCAACTCATCTTCAGGGAAGACTCAATGAAGATGAGACCCTTAACACCCTCCTCATTGTGCCTCCTGATCTTACCACCACTATCACCAACAAGCCTACAAATCAAGGAGTCATTGTAGTTCCAGATTTAGACACAGGTTCCCCTATGCAACAAGAAATAAGCATGATCAATGATCAATATCCCCTTAATCCAAAGAGACAACAATAACAAGCTCCAGAACTGCGGACTTATTCTCGACGACGTCATTCTCCTGAAACCGAGACAGCAGTGCCAATTTCATCCCCAATCGAGGACTATTCTAAAACAGAAGTCTCACCTCTATCGACATCCATCTACCTTCTAATTGCAATTCGAAAGGGCAAAAGAAGTTGCACTCAACACCCTATTTCCCGGTTTATGTCCTATGGAAACTTATCTAAGTCTTATAAAGCCTTTGTGTCTAATGTTGCATCTTCATTGTTTATGTGGATGATATAATATTAACAGGGGATGATTCAAGCGAAACAAAATTGAAAGTCTAAAAGAATTTCTTAGTGTTGAATTTGAACTTAAGGACTTGGGGAACCTTAAGTACTTCCTTGGAATGGAAGTAGCAAGGTATAAAACGGGTATTTCCATCTCCCAAAGAAAGTATATTCTTGATATATTGTCTGAAGTTGGGTTGTTAAGGTGTAAACCAGCCGAAATTCCTATGGAATTTAATCTTAAATTGGGAACTGACAGAGATGGAGAAGAAGTCAAAAGGGGAGATATCAATGACTGGTAGGAAGACTCATCTACCTATCTCACACCCTTCCAAACATAGCCTTTGGTGTGAGTGTTATCAACTAGTACATGCGTGCCCCAAGAGAGAAGGAC